TATAATGAGGTCATCGCGCACGCAGCATCGTTTCAGTACCTTCCTGTTGAGATGGACCAAATAAATTTGCAGTAGTTCACGGCTTCACCATAAATAGAGCAAATCTCTTTACTATGGCAAAAAAGCCCCTTCGAGACTGAGAATTCACCTCATAGGTCAACAATTTACTAGTCAAACGTTCAAAATAAGAATAACTTTAATTTTTTCGATCCTAGTAAACGCAATCCATCTGTAAACGTGCATAGTTGGTCATTTCTTTACTTATTCTACTTATAAGTTCTTATAACTTCCGTTATGATGGTAGGAATGATGTTTTAGCGTGATTTGTCCGATGACCTCATTATATTGGCGCGTGAATCGCACCACACCCCCTTCGCCCCCATTCTATAGCCTCCTGATCATTCGGGGCACGGGGCCTAATGATATAGCTTAACAAATACAGGTGATGCCTAGAAATAAAACTTTATTATTATACTTTAGGATCCAAATGCGTTATACATACTCATGGAAAAAATGCTAATTTTATCACTCAATTAATAAAAGGAAATATGTTTGAAATCTCACACCAGGAATACATAAAAGGTAAGATTGTTATAACAGTTGCTTTAAAATTTCGATGGTAAAAGCCCAAAGTCACTTCCAGGTGTTTACGACCCATTCACTGGAAAAACATTCAGTTACGATGATACGCTGGCCATCCCTATCATCGAAAATCGACTGCACGAGATAGAGTTGTTAGTGAGTTTGTTTTGCAAATCGGCTTCATTGTGGCAAGGACACAGCTGGAGGTAGACTCAACATACTGGTACCTCACAACTAAACATGGAAAAGTTCTTTGGAATTTGCTTCAGTTGCTTGTCATGAAAGTATAAACGAAAGGGCGAGTTCGGTCAGGGCCGGCGGCATAGCCGCATTTCGACCTATTTCATTTCATGCATCGAATGTTATGTAAGTAATGAAAAGCGTAGCTGATTAGCTGTCGGTCGATAAGTTACTCTCTAGTAAGGAGAGGAGCAATCTTTCAAAACTGATCCGAATGAGTTTGAGATTGAAGTAGTCAAACTAGGATTTGGAGAAAGAAACTACTCGCATCAAAAAGCAAAAGAAAATTTCTGCCAAAAAAGCTTCTGGAGAAGACCGGAAAAGGCCCTGCTCACTGTCAGTACGGGAAGCCAACCTCGACCGATCTCACTGTATCACACCCGAGTTGTTTCCTGGTGAAGACCACGTAGCTTACGATTAGTCTAGCTGAGCTCAGCATGTGAGTTACGGTATGGCTGGGGTGAAGTTTTAAGCGAATCAATTCCTTTTTTTGGATGCGCTCCTCATTCAACGTCGTTGGAGTTGCAATGGCGTTATAAGTGCGTATGTAACCTATACAACGACATGCGGTGTGGCCAACCTAGACCTACATACTTTTATCCTCTGAGACGAGTCCGGTACAATGAACCGATCCGAGGGGAGGGAATGCGCGAATGTCTTGAGCGAGCATCGAGCCAGGATCCGATCTGGGCTGTGCGTGTGCGCCACTCGATCCTACCCCATAGTACTTAATGCCACCATACGCAGCCTACGATCGAGACCCTGTGTATTTTTCTATGAATAATAAAATACATTACTTTGCTAATTGTTGCAGAATCATTTCACATACAGTAACATACATTTCAGCCGGCTTTGGACGAGTGCCTGAAGACTCATCAACGCTCCTGTGCTGTGTTGGTCCGCACTCATGGTCTCTTTGTATGGGGCCTCACTTGGGAGACAACTAAGATCATGTAAGTAGTTTGAAGGGGCCTTTACTCAGTGATCTTTTCGGAATAGTATTTACTTATCAAAATCGGAAGTGCCTAGCTTCATAGCATTGGATTCGCACCAGAGCTCCTCAAAATTTACAGGCGGGTTGCAATAGCATACAGCGGCGGGACGATGACGCGGCGCGTTCTTTAGGCTTATCGATTTTTTCCATAATAACTTGCGAAAGGAGTATAAACGGGATATCCAGCCTAGTAGCTTCCAAGGGAATTGCATACTCAGAAAGCATCCTTAAAAGCGCTTCTATGAGTTCAGACCTTCTTTATAAACTCACAGATTTAATAATAAATCTCCTTTCAGAGCCGAATGCATAGATTGCCTCATTGATCTGGCTATTGATATGATTCGACAAGAAATACCTTTGGTGAAAGAAGTCGCCATGGCAAAGTCGGACAACCCTGATGAGGACTACCATCATATCTTCTATACAAAGTAGATTTATAAAATTGTTTCACTTCATTGCTTACTATGGGTCCATCTAGAACTACCCGAAAACCTCTCAGCATTGTATCTGGGGTCCCCTCAGCACTTCGGGCTCTTCTCAGTGCTCATATGGAACGATTGGGTATTCTACCTCGCTTTCTGATTCACAAAACAAATAAAAAAGTTTCCAGTTTCCTGTTTACTGACATCTAATTGAACACGTACTGAAGGGATTTTGCGGAAGGGTTTACGATTTTCAAAAGTAACTCTGATGAGGTACTAGTAATGATGCAATTTCAAAATGTACCGTCCATGTAGTGGCCGAGAATGTCGTGAAATTTCGCCGAAAAAGACTTCTGAGCAATGAATTCGCCGAACTGCATATGTTTGACTTGTTGTGGGCGTAATACGCCGACTCAGCTCCGAAACCACCTGCATTAACACCTAGCTGACCGACACTGCCAGTACAGAGTTTTTTTTTCTTATCGCTTTTAATCCTGCAGAAATTTCCTTACTTGTTTTACTAACTATCGATTTCCGCAACTCAGATGCTTTGGGAGATCAATCGTAAGGTAAGTTTGCATAAAAGTAGGCCCAAACAAGTAAACATTTTCGGGTAAAATGAAAGCGTCTTGCCTAGACAAACATTGGAAGTTAGCGAGAAAATCGTGTTCGCCTGAATAATCGTGTTTGAAAATTGCCAAACACTTTAAATAATTTTTAAGGTGGTTCAAATAGAATTATTTTTGAGGGAGTTTATAAAGCATGTATGAGGTTCCAAATTATTGAAATTGAAATGAAAGTTATTTTTTCCGTGCGAATCTGATCCAAAATCATTGAAGCTTCGATAGCTAACTTAGACTGTCCATTTGCTGTAATTAGCAAAACGTTCTGAGATTATTGAAGTACTCTGGCAAGGTAGATTTCCAGTAAGTTCGCTAAAGATGTTTGCATTCAAATGCAGTTATAAATAAATTCACAGCTAATAGCTACTATCCTAAATTGATAAAATATTTTTTTCATTAATCAAGCCCTCATTCTAAGATGCAATACGGGGGCTCAGCGCCCAAAAATTTTGAACTTGTTTTGCTTATAAAATTCGATCGGGGCGTCTCCTTAATTATGAATTCATATGAAGGATATCTAATAAAATTTTTCGATTTCGAGCTGAATTTTTTATTTTTTTATCTAATTTTTAGTTCTTATTTCCTCTGATTTTTTTAATCTGGAGCTTTTCGTAATCTGATCATGTACCATGCCCATGAGGAAATTAATTAATTGTTAATACGGCTGTGTCGATCGCTTGCAAAGTGAAAAGATACATTCATTCAAATCATCTGATGATAAACGTTCATGAAACCTTCATAGCTGTGACATTTCCACCGGTCTTTTTGAATGCTGCCTCTGAAGAATGCTGTGTCATCAGAGCCGAAAAATTCGAGTGACGTGCGGATGACATTTGGTTCAGTTTGCATTTTTTTCCTTCCCGAAAATTTTGCCGAGAAAGAAAAATGTCGGGCGGACAAATTATGAGCTGAGAGGGTTAGAAAGAAAAACGTGGTTGTTGGGAGAAGCTTGTCCTGCCTTGTTTGTTGTTCGCTGACGAATAGGAGAGACAGAGGGTAATCTATCAAAATCATGAGGCATTAGGATGTACTTTTTGTTGAAAACAGACGGCTCCTTTCTAGGATGCTCTTTTGAAGACATTCCCTCCGCTGACATTTTGCTCGTGATCAGGTTATTGTAGGTTCCAGAACTGTTCTAAAATTTTGTATTAACGACTACTGTACCATTCGAAGCTCCTTGAATTTCACCAGAGAAGTGCTTCGATAGATTCCCTCTGTATTTTTAATCATATTTCATTTTATTATACTCTCTCGCGTTTTGCTGACGCTTAGAATCATGACATAATAAACTCTTGATAGCTGCTTGGAGGGACCATATGGGCAGCGTAGGTTAAACCACATGGAAAAAGAATCAAGGGACCTGAACCGGGGCCGAGGCAACTTCTCACCCGAATGCTCAAGCACCTCTCGACCCTTTTGCCCACCAAGAATGAATCTCATGCGTTTACAAACGCTCGACGTGAATCAGCCGGTTTGGACTATTTCTTAAATTCCATTTAAAGTCGTGTAAAAGCAGCTCCCTCATCGTCTTGGTATTGGAAAAAAGTGAGGAAGGTTTTTTCCTCCCGAGTGCCTTTATTTGAAGTGTCTATAATGAGAGCATAAAATTTTTGGTACGTCGATATTTTCTTCTCGAAATTTCTCGGTACAAACCATCCGGAACAGAAACACAAAATCTTCAAAATATTAGAATTTATTTAATTTAATTTTTAGAGTAAAATATCAACAAAGTATTATGCCTATGAGACGTGATTCGTTCTTTGCCTCTATAGAATCGTTACTTCTCATCGTTACTTATTGTTAGTAGTTTGTTGTACTAGAGTACTTTGTGCAGTTTACTGCTTATGTAAGATAAGTAGTGAATGGTTAGAGGAAGGTATGTAATGGTAGCTAGAATGGACTTGCAATTACACCATTAAAAGAAAAGAAAAGTAATGGTAAGGCGGTACAAAGTTCAAAGGCCCATGAGAGACTACAAGTAGATTGGGGAGGCAGTAGCAGGAGAGGAAAAGCTGATTAATTTTAAACAAACGTTCAAAAATCTCAATGAGGTGAGGTGGAATTAGTCAAATTCTTTTGAAATTGCTCCTACATCCATATCATTTCGTGGTGAAACAGAGTCTAATCCTTGAAGCGCAGTTTTCGAATCTCTTTATTTTTTCTGTAAGAGATCGAAAGTCCGTTTATTGGCATTTGGTTAGTGGGAATAATCGAAACATTGAATGACGAGGTATTTTAGTAACTGCTGTTCTTTCGCCACTGTACACGATCCAAAAGTCTCACAAAGGGGAGATGAGCAGTAGGATCGGTTTTGTGTAATCGATTCGTCGCACGCGGCCGTTGCGACCGTTCGCTTCGCCGTTATTTCAGTTCTAGCGTTCTTCATACAGTTCAATCACTATGCGATTATTACTTATGGCATGATTCTACTCTTACTTCTTTTGTTCCTGTATTTTCTACCTACTGCTGCATTCTGCTACGTTCCTTCGCGCACGGCGCCCCTCTCGCCGCGACGCGACAACTTAATCCTACTGTACCACACTCCTCACAAAGTATGGGACAAGTACTGAACTGGCTTAAGCACTTGAAAACAAATTGAAAATTTCCGTCACCTGGGAACTAAAACCGAGTAACATGACAGAAAATTTCCTTCACCTACAGTGATAAAGAAGTTAATGTTACACCCCTCTGCGCAGGAGATTACTGTCATTCTCACCCTCTGAAGCTACTTTGCTACGACCACGCTTACTTTAAAGCTGTAAGGTTGGATATATTACTTTCTCAAAGCTATACTTGTAACGAATTTACTTTCTAATCAATACGATGCAGGTGTTGTTATTCAATTTGTAGAATTTACATAGAACTATTAGAATCGTTTCAAAGTACCGTCAACTATCTTGTTTTATGAAAAGCTTGACATAGTCGTACTAAGCATACGGAAACACTTTTCCCCATTTGCTATTCATTTGCAATTCAAAACCATTAGTTGCCTTAGTTTTTGATACATTTTGTTGCGTTGTCGGAAAGAGCCTTATCATCAATTACTCATTACTATGTATCATATTGTTTTGTTTCATTTGTATAGAAGGGTTTTGTCGAATCCATCTCGTCAGATTGATTCACCGGACGTCATGGTGGACGAGGTGTCGAGAGGCGTGGAGGGCACAGGATCCTCACCTGGTGGTCCACATCTAAAAACCCTGAAATCACGGAAGAATCCAGCTGATCCAGTGTGAAAATCCGGTGTCACTCATGCACTTTGTACAGTGAACAAGTTCTGTTCCGTTTCCCCTCAACGTGTCTTCTGCCGGATCTACCCCCCGCTTCCACACATCCTCCCCTATGCTCCTCTTCTCCTCCTCATCTCCTCAGTGTAAACAGGCTCTGCTCGCTTTAACCTCAACATTTTTCGCCCCGTCCCACGGGTCGACTCGATATCGACAAATCCCCCCCTCGTATGTTCGACTACCGCTCTTGTTCCTCGACGGCAATCGATTATGATCGCCAATTTATGTATGTTTATTCTAGCGCTAATCGTCAGTTGACAATGACAGTTGGATTTTTTTCAGCAAGAACTTCTCCCTGTCAACCCCGTTAAACAAGCACCAAGTCACCTGTCTTGTTCTCATCAATTCGCTTCCTCGGTCTCTCGTCATACTCTTGAAATTCTTGTCGTCAGTGCTTCCTGACTTTGTACCATTACATTTTACTCGTCTGATTTTTCTGGATTTTGATAACAGTAATACTTGTTTCGACCTGTTGTTCTTGGTAACTGTTGTTATTTTGGCGCAGTGGGCGATGCGAAAGTCTCACAAGACTGAAGAGTTGTGGACAAAGTTTTGGCCTCGGGCGGAACTCGAACCTGTGCTCGTGCTTTCCGGGCACCATGCTCTTACCACATGCAACCTTACCCTACCCGGACCACCCAAGTCCTCGCCCTATTAATGCTCTAGGTATTTGTTCTTGAAGCTGCCCTTGAATTAGAATTTTTTCAAATCCCTGATTTTTTTCTGCAAAAAACTTCCTCGGATGTTTTTAGCTCGGAGTTTTCGACAGATAATTAAATTGAGATCAACGATCTGTATCTGAACATGATTTCATGGAAGGCTATGTAAATAAAACTGTTAATGACCAAAGGCAAATAATCCGAAGTCTAGAAACAAAAATTAAAAATTTGACATTTGTCAATCTTTTTTTATTTGTATATTTATAGATTATTTACAAAAAAACTAGTGTTATTGTGGCAGTGACATCAGAAGAAGCATATGGCTTGATGGTTTGTGTTTAGTCAGTTGTTAATCAGAAAATAATACTCTTGGGAACATCATGGCTTTTACGCAGTAAACTTTTCAATTGCAGAAACATGTGACTACTTCCTTGTGGGCTA